AGCTGGATGGCAGAGGAAGAGATGCAGCTCTGGCCCTACTCCCTGGCTCCTACCGGTGTTTCCCCTCGATTCACTTTTGCTCCGTGGAGATGGTATCCTTCTATCTGCACCCTCTGATTTCCTCATTCTCTGCACCAGTAATTTTGATAAAAATGCAAGTTCAGATATGCTGTCTGTCCTTCCGGGCCCTACCCTTCCTTAAGCTTCCCCTCCCTAGAGGAGGGCACCACCCCCAGTGCCCCTGCCTACTTCCTGCCCATTTGTTTTCTGGTTCTTGTCCCTGTGCCATTTCTTTTTCTAAGATCTTCCCGTGCATCGGACAAAAGGTTGTGTCTTGAGGTAAAACCTCGGACAGGTTTTGCTCATTCCAACACCATCTGCCTTTAATTAATAGAGATTGCTCCCAGATTCCAACATCGGGTCATCTATCAGTTTGGTTTTTGGCGTGAGTGTGAATTTTCATTTTTCTCATTGTCTTTACAGCTATTTTGGAACCAAACAAGGAGAGGCTCCATGGGTGGCTGCCAAGTAGATATGCCATTTTGAAGGAGTCAGAACTGCATGTAGAAGTTGTGGTTTGTCCATCTTGAGGCAGTTTCTGTGGCTGTGTGTGTATTTGATAAAAGAAGAAAAGGCAGGAACATTTTCCCTGTCCAGGGACCACTTGTCCAATGACCTCAGTTCTCTGGAATACACCCAAAACAAAGAGTCCGCAAGCCGCCAGATAGCTGCCACAGTGTCCATGTTCTGGACGCTATTCACATTACCCAAAGGGGAGCATTTCCATCTCCCTCATTGCAAGCCGATTTACCCATGTTTTATGTACAGTTCTAACAATCTCAGTCTTTGTTTCCCTAGCTCCACAACCAAACTGGAATTGGCAAATCTGAAGGGAGTAGGGGACATTTTACAATGAGCACACTGACCTAAGAAGTATTTCTGGGGCGCCTGGGTGGCTCAGTCGGTTAAGCATCTGCATGCAGCTCAGGTCACCATCCCGGGCTCCTGGGATGGAGTCCCACATCGGGTCCCCTGCTCAGCGGGGAGTCTGCTTCTCCCTCTCCCTCTGCCCCCCCCCATTCATGGTCTCTCTCTCAGCCTCTATCTCAAATAAGTAAATAAATAAAAATCTTTTTTAAAACAGAAGTATTTCTTTTTTTTTAAATAATTTTTTATTGTTATGTTAATCACCATACATTACATCATTAGTGTTTGATGTAGTGTTCCATGATTCATTGTGCATAACACCCAGTGCTCCACGCAGAACGTGCCCCCCTCAACACCCATCACCAGGCTAACCCATCCCCCCACCCCCTCCCCTCTAGAACCCTCAGTCTGTTTTTCAGAGTCCATCGTCTCTCATGGTTCGTCTCCCCCTCCGACTTACCCCCCTTCATTCTTCCCCTCCTGCTATCTTCTTCTTCTTTTTTTTTTTCTTAACATATATTGCATTATTTGTTTCAGAAGTACAGGTCTGTGATTCAACAGTCTTGCACAATTCACAGCGCTCACCATAGCACATACCCTCCCCAATGTCTATCAACCAGCCACCCCATCCCTCCCACCCCCCACCACTCCAGCAACCCTCAGGTTGTTTCCTGAGATTAAGAATTCCTCATATCAGTGAGGTCATATGATACATGTCTTTCTCTGATTGACTTATTTCACTCAGCATAACACCCTCCAGTTCCATCCATGTCGTTGCAAATGGCAAGATCTCATTCCTTTTGATGGCTGCATAATATTCCATTGTGTATATATACCACATCTTCTTTATCCATTCATCTGTCGATGGACATCTTGGCTCTTTCCACAGTTTGGCTATTGTGGACATTGCTGCTATAAACATTGGGGTGCACGAACCCCTTCGGATCCCTACATTTGTATCTTTGTGGTAAATACCCAGTAGTGCAATTGCTGGATCGTATGGTAGCTCTATTTTCAACTGTTTGAGGAACCTCCATACTGTTTTCCAGAGTGGTTGCACCAGCCTGCATTCCCACCAACAGTGTAGGAGGGTTCCCCTTTCTCTGCATCCCTGCCAACATTTGTCGTTTCCTGACTTGTTAATTTTCGCCATTCTGACTGGTGTGAGGTGGTATCTCATTGAGGTTTTGATTTGGATTTCCCTGATGCCGAGCGATGTTGAGCACTTTTTCATGTGTCTGTTGGCCATTTGGATGTCTTCTTTGGAAAAATGTCTAAAACAGAAGTATTTCTGATGGACAGAAAGGAAAGACATAGGACGCCCCCCTCCCTGCCCCCTGCATACAACTATAAATGCTCAGAGGCTAGTGCCGTTTCCCCCAAGAGCAGGCAGCTTAGGGTTCTCTGTGTGAGCACCCTCCAGTGTGAGTCCACAGCCACCTTCTCTGAGCCTCTCCTCTGCCAGTCTGCATGCTCTGTGCACCCTGTCCCCACCTCCCATAGCTCCAGGTGCTTTGGACAGTGGCTCCCAGGACCCTGGCTGGCTGCACATCAGGCTCCCCTGGGGAATGTCAAGAATCAGGACATGGAGCCTGCCCCCTAAACCAGGGAAATCAGGTCTTGGGGATGGGACCCAGGCATCGGTGTTTTTTAAGGCTTCCAGCTAATTCCGCTGTATGGCCCGGGCTGAGAAGCAGGGCTAATACTAATATGTTTTCATTGGGCAGGGAATGGATGCCACACGTTCTAGGATGATTTCTGTCCCAGGTGGATACTTAGTTCTGGAAAGAACTGCCGTAGATGTCACCAGGAGGGAAGGCAAGAAGTGAGAGCTCGAGGTGCCCTGGGAGGAGGTTGTCACTGGGCTCTGCCACCGTGCCTTTGGCCCCACAGCGTGTGGCTTACGTGCGGCAGGTGTTCTAGAACCTTCCTGAGCCCTAGCTTCCTGGCTTTCAGGCGGGACCAGCAGGGCCTCCCTCGCAGGGTTGCAGAGCCCACGGCTACAAGGTGCTGTCCCCACCCCCCACCCCCAGGCTGTGTGCCTCAGGAGGAGGCAGGGCGTAGGTGATTTCCTGCCGACCGGAATGCAGCCCCTGACGTGGGCCAAGACTTCTGACTTGGGTAAAAAAATAACAAGAAGGCGAGGAGCGAGCGGGTTCAAGGCTGTCCCAGGAATCACGTCACCCCGCGCTGCTCGCATTCCAATTAGCTTCCCTAAGTGGCGAGAGCAGGGAGGGATCCCAGCCAGCTCGGTCTGGACGGCGGGACTTACACACAACCTGGATTCGGCCGCGGTGGTGGCTTTGCTGTGCGCGTCATCTGTCCCTGAGCTGGTTGACACATGGCCCAGAGCAGCTCCTCCCCAGCGGGAGGCGCGGTGCGGTGGCCCTGGTGCGGGTGCCGCCGGTCTGTGCGTTTGGGCCGCCATCACCTCGCCTTGACTTTGGCCGCCCTAGAATTCAGGCCGCGGTCTCTGGACGGCCCCGGCCCTGCCTCCCGAGAGGTCCCCCTCCCCCAGTCGCCAGCCAGCCAGCCAGCCACCTGGCAGAAGTCTCTAGCACGGTAGCCTCCCGATGCCCCTGGCAGGGCGTCCTGGTGGGGGGCGGGGGCGTCCCAGGGCTCAGACCACAGGGGAGCAGGAAGGGGGGCTGCTTTTTCCCCCATTTCCTGAGACTGGTTCCCAACTGGGTACCCCTCCCCCTGCCCCCGCCCGGCCCCGGGAGCTGGCTCAGGAGAAGCAGGGTGCTGCCAGGCCCGTGGCCCCCAGGGCAGTGGGATGGAGCTGTTTCAACTCTAACTGAGGCACCAGTCATTGAATTCCGGGACCTGGAAGGAGGCAGCCACCTCCCACGGGGCCAGAGGCTGACTCTGGGGGGTGGGGAATTGCTGGAACACGGGGTACTCTTCATTCCCCGCTCTGAGCTTCATGCCCTGCTCACATTTGAGGGGATCCACCAGTGTTTGCTGAGACACAGCATGGCATAACCAAGAGCACAGTAATCAGGCATCCCACGTCCGAGTTCAAAGCCCAGCCTGGGCACCAGCTGTCAGGGATGCCTTGGGCAGGGGGTCTCCGTGTTCTGATCTGCAGAACAGGACTACCACCCCGACATCCAGGAACGGTGGTGAGAATTGAGTGAGGCCTGGCACGTCGGGCAGTGGTGTGGGGCAGGCTGGGGTGATTTCTTCGGCCTCGCTGCCGGGCTGGCCATTGTGCTAAGGGTGTCGGTCCCCCGCGGATCCAGCCGAGCAGTCCCAACACCTTGTCAGAAGAGCGGGGAACACTGGCAGGGAGAGGGCCAGGCTGGGCCGAGGTGGGAGGCTTGCTCCGGTGGGTGGACACAGGCCACCCCCAGGAGAAGCAGGCCCGGTGGCTGGCAGGCCCTGGGCGGGGGGGGCCCTGTGCTTTCCGCCGGGCTCAGGCTCCGGCTTCGAGAAGCCCCCGATGGGCTCCCCGGCGGTCGCAGGCCCAGCAGCCCTGCCTCTCAGCAGTAGGGCCCATTAGAACTGAACAACTCTTCGCAGGGCATTCTATTTGCACACTCCAGTAGAGTGGACACCAAAGGGGTTTTCTAATGCTTCATGGGCTGCTAATTTCCTCCGTGACCTCTTTTGTTGGGGTCTGACCCCAGCCAGAGGCTCTGCGCCATGAAAGCCAGCGCCTGACACAGACCCAGGGCGCGGGGTGACAATGAGACCTCTATCAGCTTTAATCAGGCTCCAGTTGGGTCTTAAGAACGGGGTGGGGGGATTTGTGTGGCGCTCAGAAAGCCCTGGGTGGCACAATACCAGAGCCCCCAGTGTCCCTCATGGAGGCCAAGGGGGCTCCAGGCAGCGGCTGAAGGGTTGGTCGGGCCATGGGGCGGGGGTGGGGTGGGGTCGGGCGGGGGGGGCCCTTTGTCCCAAGCGCCTCTTCAGAAGGCCGGGCCTGCCCTGAATGGCCGCCCGCCCGGCCTGGCCCACGGGTATCACAGGCCCCTGGGTATCTGGGGAGGCGGCCTCCCCCTCGGCCCCCAGCCTATTCATCGCCAGCCTAATTAGGTTTTTTTGTCTGTGTTCTCCCTCCCCTGCAGACTGCGATTCCTACTGCAAGGCCTCCAAAGGGAAGCTGAAGATTAACATGAAAAAGTACTGCAGGAAGGACTATGGTGAGTGCCAGTCCCCTTGTCTGGTGGGGCCCGCGGGGGCCACGTGACCAGCCAGGAGCCAGGCTCGGGGGGCAGGTGGCCCTGGCTGCGTGCTGGTTGTGGTGTCCCGGTGCCCAGACAGGGGCCTGGCTGGCGGGATCCCACGCCCAGGGAACTTGCTGGCTCTTCCTCCAAGGCCCTCGGAGGCAACGGGCACGAGGGGCCTTCTGGGGGCGCGAGGGGCTGCAAGGGGGCACGAGGGCTGGGCTCTCTCCCCCTGGCAGGGGCTCCCCTGTGGCTGGGATTCCCAGCCTGGCCTCTGGCCTTCGCTCTGCCCTGGGTGGGGGGCTGTGTGGCCTCAGGCCAATCGCTTCACCTCTCTGGTCTTCGGTGCCTTCATCCGTATGATGGGCTTTCAACCTGAGTCTCCCTCCGTGGCTCAACGTGGGGTGGCGTCCTCCAGGCAACACGAAAGGGGGCGGGGGCTCCATGGGTTTAAAAGCCTTCTCCTCCTTCCGGAGGTTGACTCTGCAAAGGCTGAGGTGAGTTGGGGAATCTGCATTTTAAATGGTTCACTGAAGTTTGAACACAGCTTGCGGGGGTGGGGTGGGGGTGTCCCTGAGGGTGCTTTGCAGCCAGGAGCTGTGGGGCTGACAGCCCTGTCCCTTGAGCCGTCAGGCCTGGGGTGACCCAGCCCCTCGCTCACTACACACCAGCCCCCCGTGCCCCCTCTCCGTTGGGCGACCGTGCCCGCCTTCTGTATGCACTTGCTGGGAGTCACCTCGTGCCAGGCTGCCCCGGGGGAGGTAAGGAACCGGCTTTGTGGCGTCTGGTCCCTCTGTCCCTCCGGGACCCAGGGGCGCCCAGCAGCCCGGCCTGCTGTCTTCCCGGGGCCGGCCATGGCAACCAGACCGAAGGGGTTTTTCTTTAATAAGGACAAGCGTCAGGCCCATTTAGTGTAATGAAAGGCATGAGGGAACCCAGAGGAATTTTGAGAACTTACAAAACGTAATCATTGTACCCCATGCGAGTGTGTGTATGTACACGGATGGATGCACACACACAACATTAAACACCCCACACTGGAGCCCAGAGCGCCCCCCACCCCCAGGCCGCCTGGCCTGCCCCGTGATGGGGGTGCGTCTGTGGGTGGCCCTGTCCAGACCCCCATGGGGCCCACAGCAAATTCCCCAAAGCCCCCTTCAAGTGTTTGCACCCGGGACAGTGCAGAAACGTCTGACTCCCGCTGGAAAAAGAACAAACTTTGAGACAGTTTAAGGATAAAGGGGGTGCTGTCTCTGAGCCCCGGGGACATGCACAGGAGAGGGTTGAGGGCTCGGGCAAGAAGGCCCAAGGGTTCTGTCCCGTTCCCAGGCATGGGGCCTGGGGTTCAAGCGCAGGCTGTCTGTGCAGGCCCGGAAAGCCCGGGGTCGTAGAGAAGAGCCCTGCCCAGAATGGGGGGCAGGGGGAAGGAATGGTGGGTGTCCTTGGGGAAGGATTGCTTTGAGTTTTGTCTGGAAGCATCCTTTGGTGGACGCCTGAGAGGGGCTGGAAAGGGAGGGCCAAGCAGTCCTTCTGGGAGGGGTTGGCCTGCAGCCCCTGTTCTGTTCTAAAAGTGAAGAAAGGAAAAATTAGGCTTTTTAAAAGTTACCAGAATAGCTCCTGCGTTCCACCTGGTTCTGTCCGACTTGGCTTCATTTTGTTCTCTTCTCTTCTTTTCCTTCGTTGAATTCAGCTTCCCTGACCCCCGATGTTCCGGGGGTCCCTTGTCCTCCTCAGCGAGTGCCTCGTCCCGTACCAGCAGGAAGGCTGAACACCCTCTTTTTGCCGAAGGGGGCCGGACACCCTCTTTTTTATGAACTCAGAGGGGGCCCACAGGCTTGTTCAGGAAGGAGGGGGCGGCCCCCGAGGGCCGGGCAGGGGCCCACCGGTGCAGCCGGAGGCCTTGCTCTGGGGCTGGGGGGTGAGGTGTCATGATCGGGTTCGCAGGACTTTGTAGAGAATCACCCCTGCATTCCGTTGGGACCACGGACCCCCGGATAACGTGCGAGTGGGGGACGTCCCTCCCCTCCTGATGAGCAAGCACGGGACAAGGAGGGAGCTGGCGTGGGGGTCTGCAGGGAGGTGAGGTGGGCAGAGCGGGCCAGGCCAAGGAGGACTGGGGGCCGGGCTTCTGAGGGGCTGCATCATCTCTGCTCTGACTGACACCCGGCAGGGAGCCAATTAGAAGACGTAAGCAGTGCCCTGGATGTTCCAGAAGCTGCTAATGAGCACCCGGGTTTACTGCCCCTGCCAGGTGAAGAGCAGGCCCCAGGCCCCCTTCTTCCTGCTGGGGACGTGGAGCTGGGTGTCCGCTGACCTGAGTAGCGGGCGGCAGGGGTGTGCGGGTGGGTCCCGTCCTGTGTTCGCTCTGGTGCGTTCCCGACGAGGGGCCCGGCGCGGGTAGGGCTGGGGTGGGTGCCAAGCAGGGCAAGGAGGACTGGGGTCAGGGGAGGGCCTCAGGGCCAAGCCCCGCCATGCTTCTCACATCCCGAAAGCGCCCCAGGCAGGGAAGGGTGGCTCGTTGTATTCCCGTCTGCAGGGAAGGGGCCCCACAACCTGGAGGCACAGACCCCTAACGTGCTGCGGGACTTTGGGCAGGAGCCTCACCGGCCTGGGCCTCGGTTTCCTGTCACATGGAGGTGTCATCCAGGGGACACGACGTCCTTCTGGGTGAGACCTGATCTGCTTGGGGCAAGGGTGCAGGGTGATGCTGTGGTCTGCGGCCACCCGGCCCTCTGTTGCCCTTGAGGGGACGCCGCCAGCGAGCTGCCCATGAGGGGCAGTTGTTTGCATTATTGCCCAGTGTCTTAGTGATGCCGACCAGCTCCTGGGGGACCCCTCGCCTGGGAGGGGCCCTGCCTTGGTGTGAATGCCCCGGTGGGTGCTCGTGTGACGGCGTGCATGAGTGTGCACGTAAGGGTGTGCACGTGGAGGTGTGATTGTGCGAGCAGGTGCGTGTGTGCTCATGGGTGTGCGTGAGCGTGAGTGTGGGCGTGCGAGTGGGCTTGTGTGTGCAAGCATGTGAGCATGGTGGTATGCACATGTGGGTGTCCGTGCATGTGTGCACACGTGTGTGCCAGTGTGTGACCGCAGGTGTGGGTGTGCTCGTGAGTGTGCACACGTGTGTGACTATGTGCACGGGTGCGCGTGAGAGTGTGCGCATGTGACCGAGTGTGATCCCTCTTTGCACACTCATGGAGCACCTGCCGTGTGCCCTATCCTGACTTGAGTGCTGAGCTTACGGATAAGAAGGAGACGCCGGCTTAGCCCTCAAGGCCCTTACAGTCTAGGAGGGGAGGACACACAGATGAGAGCGGGGAAGGTGGACCTGCCTGAGGTCCAGAGACTGGTTCTCCAGAGAGGGTGTGGAGGGAGGGCTTCCTGGAGGAGGGGGCCCCCGGTAGCCGCTGCTCACGGGGCAAAGCAAGGCTCCCAGGCAGAGGGAGGAAGGCCTCGGGCACAGAAGTGGAAACAGGCTGGGGAAGCGGGTGCTGGGTTTGGGGGTGTGGGGGCCAGGGAGGCTGGGGAGAGGCCCATCTGGGCCTCAGCAGCCACGGCCACGGCCACGTGCACAAACCACCCTGGGCCCACTGAGAGCTGCCTCCTGCCTCTTCCTTCTCCCTGGGATTCGAAAGTGGGGGGCAGACAGACAGCTCACATTCTGAAAGGTGAGATCATCTCACTTCTGCCAGTTCTTGGAAAAATTATTCGTTCCCAGAAATGTTTATTAGTCACCCCTTTTGTTGAAAGACATTTTGGCACCGCCAGATGGAAAAATCAAAATGCTTTTCACAAAATGATTTGTGTCAAGAAGGCCTCCTGAGGTCCCGCAAGGATTATTTCTGGGGTACAGCTCAAAGGGGAGACTCTGTTGGCATCTGTGGGGAGAGACGGGGCTCTCCAGGCTTTGCAAGCAAGCGTGTGTGCGCGCGCACTCCTGCTTTCTCGGGGGCCCCGTGGCAGAAGTGGGCTGGGACCTAAGCGGAGCTGTCATTCACACCGACATCCCCCCGTGCGCCCCGGGACCTCCTGCGGCCTCGCCAGGCCCGGGATGGGGCACCTCACTGCCTTCCTTCCCGTCCTTGCTGAACCCACGCGAACACCTGCTGAGACTCACCGAGATCCCGTAACGTGCTCCAGACCGGGGACTCCAATGCTTGAGAGGCTTCTCCTGCCCCGGGCCGGGGCCCGGAGCCTCTGGCCACACAGAGGGGGCACAGCTGTCCCTTAGAAGGCTCAAGAACGCGTTTCCCCCCACGGGACCCTTGACTCCCCGTTCCTGGTAAGCCAGACACATCGTCCTTGGGAAACCGGCAGGTGGGGTCCCCGTGGTGTTGGGGTGACGTTTAGAGATGATGGAGCCAACGTGGCAGACGTTGTGACCGGGCCTGGGAGGGGGCTGGCGAAGGGCATGGCCGTGTGGGGGAGGGAGGTCACGGGCCGATCCCTGATGGGGGGTGGGTGTGGAGGTGCTGCCGCCGGCGGTGGGAGTGCCCGCAGATTGCCGTGGAGCTGGTGGGGACGGCGTGACGGGGCCTGGCCCTTGCCTGGCTCTCGTCCAGCTACTCAGGCTGGAGATCAGATGGGGTCGGGGGAGGCTCCTAACTCAGGCCTCTTTTTGTCTCACCGGCCTCAGGGACGCGGGGCGGGGGGGCCCAGCAAAGGCTCTCCCCTCTTAGCCCGTCCGTTTCTTAACCCTGAGTTCAAGGGCTATTCCTGATCAGGATCAATCCCGTTAAGTGTGGAGAACTGGACGGTTCTCAACCCCGTGCCGGGGGCGACGCGCCTGCGTCTACAGCAGGCTGAGATCTCGGGGCTCGGGTGTGGGTGCAGATGTTTCCCCGTCCCTGGGGGCCGTTCCTGGGAGACGCCACGCCTGCCTCCACCCCCAGAGCATCCCCCCCGCCAGCCCCGGGGAGCGGGACGCAGACCAGCCGGCAGCACGTGGCGTGGTGTTTCAGAGGCTCGCTGACCCTTCC